GCGCTCTTTGGGCTATCCACGAGGAGATCGATCAAAGAAGGGGGGGAGCTTTAATTACGCCCCCCCCCTCGGGAGTTTCACAAATAGTCTCTTGGACCCCCCTTGGAGCGCTCTTGGGCGGTCTTCTGGCAGTCTTGGGGCGCTCTTGGGCCTCTCTTGGGGCCCTCTTGGGCCATATTGGACCCATCTTGAGGCCTCGGGAGGCCATCGAATGCAACAAGGCGAGAAAGCGAAATTCATAGTTTCTCTCAAGGGTTTTGAAGGGTATTGTTTTTTTTGCGGCCTCCTGGGGAGTCTCCGTGGCCACTTGTAGCCGTCTTGGAGCGGTCTTAAATCTTCTTGGAGCATCTTGGGAGCCAGATTGAGCCATCTTGGGCTATCTTGGGCCGTCTTTGAAGTCATCTTGGGCTCTCTGAGACCCCCTTGGAGCCGTCTTGGGCCATCGTAGATGCTCTGACCGCTCGCGGGGTTTTCCGTCCAGGTCCAGGGGAGGGGGGAAGAGGGAGGGGTCAAGGCACCCTCCTAGATAGGAAGCCGTCTAGCTCACTCACGCTGGCCCTCCCAACACATAAGTAACACCCGAGCCTTTGCATGTTCAGCGCTCGTCTTTGGGTGGGCAGCTACTGGGAACAAACACTCACCCCATGTGCGCGACGCTTGGGCCCGAGCGTGCCAGGCACGTCTGGTGCACCAGATGCGCCACGTGCTCCACGTGCGCCAGGTGTGCTGCATACACCAGCCGCGCCAGGTGTGTCACGTTAGGGGCACGTGCAGAGTGTGTCAGGTGCGCCTGCACATGTGACAGCACACACACACACACCGGGAAATATGTCGCCCCCCACCATCTTTGTCGAAAGCCACTGCATATCATCATGTGAAGTGGGCCTGCGGACAGCAGGCCATACGCCACCACCCCCGCCGTCCTTGTTCCCAAAAACACTTCACAGTGTTCGCGGGGTGGCTGCGCATGATCCAGATTTATCCGAGAGGTGCATCCGCGAGGTGAATTTTCATTGTCTTTTGATAGGGGTGGTGGCCCTGCGAACATCCGACAACATGCTGACACCCCCGCCGCCCCTGTCAAAAAGCATACAAACTGCTCGCGGGCCTCACGAACATGATTCAACTTTGCTTTCTGATAGGAATGGTGGGGGGGCCGCATCGGGTTGGTTGCGCATGCTCCGAATGTGGATGCAGAGTGCGTTCTGTATTGTCTCGTGACAGGGATAGTGGCGGGTGATCATGGTGTCCTCATTGTTCCTGGTTGGCTGCCGGTCGCATGGAGGTATACTATTAGGGAGCAGTGATCAAGACACCCTCCTAGATAGCAAGCCGTCTAGCTCACTCCCGCCGGCCCTCCCAACACATAAGTAACACCCGAGCCTTTGCACGTTCAGCGCTCGTCGTTGGATGGGCAGCTACTGGGAACAAAAACCGACCCCATGTGCGCGACGCTTGGGCCTGAGCGTGCCAGGCACGTCTGGTGCGCCAGATGCGCCACGTGCTCCACGTGCAGCCGCGCCAGGTGCGCCACGTTGCACGTGCAGAGTGTGTCAGGTGCGCCTGCGCAAGTGACAGCGCACATCGGATAACATGCCGGCCCCCACAATCCTTGTCGAAAACAAATGCCCATCACTGTGTCTGGTGGGCCTGCGGACAGCAGGCCATACGCCACCACCCCCGCCGTCCCTGTCAAAAAACACTTCACAGTGTTCGCGGGATGGCTGCGCATGATCCAGATTTATCCGCGAGGTGCATGTTGTATTGTTTTTTTGATAGGGGTGGTGGCCCTGCGCACAGCAGACAATCTGCTGACAACCTCGCCGTCCCTGTCAAGAGACATACAAAGTGCTCGCGGGCCTCACGAACATTATTCAAAACTTTGCCCCAAGGTGTACTTCGTAGTGTTATTTGACAGTGATGGTCGCGGGTTGGTTGAACATGCTCCGAATGTGGATGCAGAGTGCGTTTTGTATTAACATGTGAAAAGGATGGTGGCGGGTGATCATGGTGTCCTCATTGTTCCTGGTTTGCTGCTGGTCGCCTGGTTGAGAGGGTGTAGATTATTAGAGAACAAATATAAACCCTTCCTTTCAGAAGAAGAAAGGGGGTTGGAAAAAAGCCTCCCTAGACCACCTACGCCCAGAGGGCTGGTGCGATTAGAGCGGCGGGTTTGGAGCCATTCTCGACATCTGGAGGCCCTCGCCGGGCCTCGGGACTGTCAAACAACGATTCAGGACGAAAAACCGGCTGGTCCAGACCTTCGGGGTCCACGCATCGAAAAAATTGGAGCGGCCGGATGTCCGCCGAGTCAGGGATCGACCTGAACGCTGTCTTGGCGATTTCGTGGGCCGTTTGCGTGTCGCCTTCGTTTTGCAGGAAGGGCGGACTGGAGGCCAGACGAGGGACAACGAACACAGCACGAGAACGAAGACCACTGTTCTGGTCACGGATGCTCGGGGGTCGGGTGCTCGGGGATGCTCGGGGGATCGGGGGTGCTCAGGTCGAGCAGGTTCGAGGGTCGAGGAGGTCCGGTCTCGGGCGACGCATAACGATAACGAAGACACAACACAACACAACACGATAACGAAGACCACTGTGTCTCCTGAGACCCTGGCGTTGTGTTTTTTCGCAGCGCGCGGTTTCGCCCGGTGTCGGGCCCCCCGGGGCCAGCGCAGGTCGATCTGGCTCGACGAGTGACGCCGCAGAAGGATGGGGTCGGGGGCTCCGGTGGTGATGCTGCGCGAGGTGGCAATGTTTGGGGCAACGTCAGGTCTGAGGGTCCCAAGGCATGCTCGCGGCGTGGACAGGATGGCGAGGTGTTTGACAGTTCTCGGACCCTCGGGCCGCTGATCGGTGGTGATGCTGCGCGATGTGGCAGTGTTTGGGGCAACGTCAGGTCTGAGGGCCCCCAGGCCATGCTCGCGGTGCGAGCAGGACGGCGAGGTTTTTGGCACTTTTTGGACCCTCGGGCCGCTGATCGGGCCCCGGGAGCGCCCTCCAAACGGTCTGAGGAGCCTCCTCTCGTTGCGGTTGCGGTTGCGCTTGCGGGCGGGCTGGCACGTGTCCTCTGGTTGCGGTCGCGGTTGCGGTTGTTCCCGCGGGCGGGTTTGAATGCGTTTTCTAGGTGCGGTTGCGGTTGCGGTGGCGCCCGCGGGCGGGTTGAAGTGTGTCCTCTAGTTGCGGTTGCGGTTGCGCCCGCGGGCGGGTGAAGTGTGTCCTCTCGTTGCGGTTGCAGTTGCGGTTGCGGTTTCGGCTGCGCCCGCGGGCGGGCTGACGTGTGTTTTCTAGTCGCGGTTGCGGTTGCGGCCGCGGGCAGGTTGATATGTGTTTTTTTAGCTGCGGTTGCGGTTGCGGTCGCGCCCGCGGGTGTATTCAAAGGTGTCTTGTAGGTGCGGTTGCGGTTGCGGTGGCGTCCGCGGGCGGAGTGGAATGTGTTCTCTAGTTGCGGTTGCGGTTGCGCCCGCGGGTGGCTTAAAAGGTGTCTTTTCGTTGCGGTTGCGCCCGCGGGCGGGTTGACATGTGTCTTCTAGTTTCGGTTGCGGTTGCGGTTGCGCCCGCGGGCGGGTGGAAATGTGTCCTCTATTTGCGGTCGCGGTTGCGGTTGCGGTGGCGTCCGCGGGCGGGGAGATATGTTTCTTCTAGTTGCGGTTGAGGTTGCGGCCGCGGGCGGGTTGAAATGTGTCCTCTAGTTGCGGTTGCGGTTGCGCCCGAACGGTTTGAAATGTGTTATCAAAAGTGCCTCCCTAGTCAGTTCAGTTCAGTTCAATTCTGCCTGGAGGGCACTGAATTTCACCCAGCTCCGACGGGAATGTGTGCTCTTGTTGCGGTTGCCCCTGCGCCTCTTAGTTGCGGTTGCGGTTGCGCCCGCGGGCGGGTTGTAATATGTGTTTTAGTTGCGGTTGCGGTTGCACCCGCGGGTGGGTTGAAAGGTGTTTTCTAGGCGCGGTTGCGGCTGCGGTTGCGCCCGCGGGCGGGATGCTAGGTGTCCTCCAGGTGGCATCACCACTGCATCGCCGATGTATCGCCGATGCGGCGCGATCCTCCGACCCCATCTACTCCGACCCCATCTAGGAGGCCTTCAGTTGTGATCACCATGTCGGGTGTCTGGATCAGTCCGCAGCCTTGGCAGCGCCTTGGCGCTGAGCAGGCATGATCCCGACGGATCGGAGCAGTCTGGACCTCTCTCCGATATGATCTGGCCCGAGCGTTTCTAGCAATCTACGTTGTGAAATCTAAGTGGAGCAACATGTGTTGTGCAATCTACGCGGTGCAATCGATGTTGTGCTATCTGTGCTGTGCAATCTATGTTTTGCAATCTATGTTGTGCATGTGCAGTCCTTCGTCTAACGCCTGGCGCCGAGTCTCCCTATCATCAAGAGGCCCTTGCACTCGTGCTCGTGAAAGCCTTCCACAAACCGGGTCCCTGACATCGTGTGTTTTTCGCAACGTGGACCGTCCCCAGACTTCGGAGGACGCGTGAGGGCCTTCTCGGAAGGCAGAAAACAAAGCGCTTTACACCCAAGCAGAAGCATACAGTGTAGACCCATGCCAAGAAACACTTTGCTTGCCTCCAGGGCGCCCTGGGTTTCTTGGGTTTCGATGGTTTTGTGCTGGAAAGTGTGACACTCCCAGACCCAAAGTCAGTGGACGTCCTGGGGTCTCAGGGTTGGGTTTCTTGTGGAAGGATCCTTGTGGTCGAGCTCCTACTGTACTTGTATGCACGGCTTGTTTTGTATGCGTCCTATTTCACTCGTGGGGGGCGGCCAAGAGGGGGGTGATGACAAGGGGGGGGGGTATCATGGCGGGTGGCACGAGATCTCCCCAGATTTCATGGCGCCTCTTCGTATTTCAATTCGTCCCCGGCCCACCACATGCCGCTGGCCATGATTTGCGCCCCCCCCGCCCCCTTCTTTGGACGCCCCCGAACTAGCCCTCCTGGTTTCTTAAAAGGCCTCCGGGCTCCTCTCTGAATGTCTCGTCTTGGAAGCCCCCTTCTCCACAGAATGCCGCCTCACTCGCACCACCCCCTTTCGATGATCCTTGGGACGCGTGTCAGCCCTGTGTGTGCGTGTGAACTGTGCCGGTGCGCGCATCGCACCGACCTTGTCTCGCCGCGACGCCGCGCGCGTGGTCGCGAGGCCAAACAAATGTTGGTGTGTGTGTGTGTTGTGTGTGTGTGTGTTGTGTGTGTTGTGTGTGTGCGTGTGAGTGCGTGTGTCTGTGCATGTGAGTGCGTTTGTGTTTGCTATTGTGGCCAGCGCGTCGCCGAGCGGGCGCTTGCAGCAGAACAAGTGCGTGCTGCCCCCGTCCATCTCCGCCACGAGCACGCAGCCCCTGTCTGCGTCGCATTGAGGGGTCTCGGTGGACAAGCCCACGTCGGCGCGAACGCGCGTCGTTTAGATGATCCATGGCCCATGCGCACGCCGCCGAAGGTGGCTCGTACGGCGAGATTGCGGGCCACCTGGACGCCATCGCCGGCCATTCCTGACGGTCCCCTGCCAGCCCGGACCACCTGCGGCGTCTGCAGCAGCGCGGGCGGGCCGGATGCACGGTGTCCCCGAAGATCTCTGGCACCAGGGAGATGCAACACATCCAGAAGCGCGTCAAAATCGGTGTCCTCCTCCTCCTCCTCCTCCTCGCCTTCCTCCTGTCGCCGTCTCGGCGTTCGGCCCGAGCGCGGCCATGCTCTCGCCCACTGGGCAACGGCCTTTGGGGGAGGGCGAGCAATCTGCCGCTGCAAGACACGCGAGAAGCAGGGGCACAACGGGCGGAGGATCCCCCAGAGGGCGGGGCAGCCAGTGCCCTCCGGGGTGTGTTCTTCCTCCTCCTCCTCCTCCTCCTCCTCCTCCTCCTCCTCCTCCTCGCCGGGCCCATCCTGGACCGCTCCCCGTCGGCATGGACGGATGTCCGGGGGCCATTTTCGGCGGTTATCCTATCTCTGCAGCGCATTGGGTGGTCCTTCGCCACCCCGTTTATTTTTGAAAGATCCTTCAGGAGAGAGATGGCCGCTCACGGCCTTTTCGCCTCGGTACATAGAAATCAATTCCGCGACGAATGGCAGAAAGGCCACGTATCAACCGTCGCCGCCAAGATGGAGCTCCCAACTGGCACTATGCTGGATTTCAGTGTTGCCAGGCAGCTGTTGCGTGAGCACAGCCTCCAGCGCCATGAACAAAGCATATTACTTTCCTTTCTCTGTCAGTCCCTGTGGACTTGCCACCAGCTCAAGAGAGCAGGATACCAGGTGCAGACAACATGCATATGTGGTGGCCCCTCCGACTGCATGTCGTACCGATTGCACCACTGCCCCTGCACTGCCCAGTTGAGGGAGCAAATGCTCACTGAGGCGGACAGGATCCTGCTCTCGGATCGTTGTCGCAACCGTGCGGGTTCGTGGAGGTCCCTGGCCCAGTGGCGGCCCCGCCACAAGGCTCAGGTACTACCCCGTTTCAGTTCTGGTGCGCCGACCCGGAGTCATCTATACATCAAGCCTTCGCGGGTGATGTCTTCACCGATGGCTCATGTTTCAAGGAGGGTCTTAGCACGTATCATTCAGCAGGATGGTCAGTTGTGAAAGTGACGCCTACTGGAGAATTGTTCGCTGCTCTCTGGGGGGCCGTGGGAGCGGCGTACCCACAGACATCACCAGCAGCTGAGCATATAGCAGTTTTGGCAGTCATGCAGCACTGCCCCCAGGTGTCTCTTATCCACTCAGACTTCCTAGGCCTAGGCAAGATGGCGGAAGCACCTTGGTCTAGGGTTGCATCGTGTCAGCACTTTTACGCAGGCCTCAATATCCAGATACGCGGGTCCCCATTTTGGGATGAAGACTTTCGCATTGAGAAGGTGCCCGCGCATGTCGACCCTGCGTCGCTCCCACAGCTTTCGCCTGACTGGTACAAAGCAGTAGGCAGCGATTTGGCTGACAGGTACGCCAAGAAAGGCGCACTGTCACTTCCACAGCCGTCAGAGGCTGAGAAGGAAAGCTGGAAGGAAGAGTCGGAGACCCTGAGGCGTTATTTGCCTTATGCTGTGCAGGCGTTGTTGCTATTTCCAAAAATAGCCCCTTCTAAAGCCATGCGGTCGGTTTTCGACAAATCGCTCCGCGAGGAAGGCTTCATCACAGGGGTAGGTGCGGCGCGGCAAGTGCTGCCAGACCCAGCCCCACCTCCGCCCCCACCTCCCCCTCCTGGCCTTCATCCTCGGCCAGGTCGCCGCCCGCCAGGCCCGATCAGAGAGCACGATTGGGCTTGGAAGCACAGCAGATGGGTCTGCCGCATATGCTTGACATTTTCCAGAGGAGTCAACAAGCCGGCACCGACAGTGAGCCCGTGCAGAGGCCACAACGAAGCTTTCACCCAGCTGGTGCAAAATCCTCGGAAACACATTCTGCATGTTTCCAATTATGCACTTGGGGTGGTATTCATTTGCAGCCGGTGCGGTGCTTACTCGGAGTCAGGGAACCTCCGTAACTTGAAATCCAATTTTAAGTTGAGA